AGAGGTGTTAAATTGAGGGAAGTAGACCTACCTGCTCATTTTCACCCACTTTTACCATTGTTAAAAAATGCAGAAACCAAGAAATACAGCGAGCTTCAAAGCTATATCCATCTGCTCACTGGGGGCTAGGAAACATCCTCCCACCCATCAAACTAACAACCAAAGGCCCTGCCATCCAGGGGGTCCATCTCGTGACCAGCTTGTGGGACAGAGTACAGCTGCCCTGTTGGCTCTGGGAGCAGACAGCCCCGTCTTTCTCCCGATGAGCTGCTTGCAGCACCAGTTCTAGTGCACTATACCACCATGGTGGTGCTAGCCCCTTATTAAAGGGCTTTTAAGGGGCACATGAAAGCAGAGCCCATACCCCGTGGTTGGCAATTGCCCTTTCTGCCACACAGAGGCAGGGAAGAAGGTCTGCAAATGCTAGCCCTCATCCTCCTTCTGAACACGATATAAAACCATATTCTTATTTGAGAATGTGTCCTGTACATCCTAAAGGAAGAGTCGTGTTCTGATTTTGCATTTTTAACATATCTTAAACCCACTGCCACCGAGCCCGCCCTAACGCACAGCCACACTATTGAATCGAGTAGAACTGCTCCCCCGGGTTTCCAAGCCTGTAACTCCTGACTCGAGCAGACGGCCACGACTTTCTCCCAAGGAGTGGCTGTGGGTCTGGAAACGCCCACCTTTGGGTTAGGCACAGAGCATCTATGAGGGTCTGCCATGCTACCTATGAGGGACTTGAGGGGCTGGGGACTGTGACATGCAAAATGAGAGGAGATACACTCCCTGAGGGTCTTCAAGAAAATATGTTCCCCAACCTTTTCTCCTAGTTCCCCAACCTTTTCTCCTAGTGATGTCATAGCTATTTAATTTGTCCCACTTGCAAAATGAGAATGAGAATTTCCCTACTGAATACATAGGCTTCTAAACTGGATCCCTCCAGGGTCAATAAATAGACTGCTGTCTCTATACCTTGAGCCCCCTCCCGCCACTGAACACTCCCATTCACCCATCTTATAATTTTCATCAACATGGATGAGTGTGCTCACTGTTTGGGGAGAGATGATCTAAAAGTACAGTATCTCTGACTTCCATGGGATGGGATAGGAATGGGGAGAAGCTAAGTAGATAACTAACACTTCACATCATAGGGGAAAAAATGTCACAAGTAATAAAGTTGCCGCCATGGATGTATATATACTTTGACAATAAGATGCCAGCTGTGTATTTGCTGGTGGGAGAATGTAACAAGATGCGAAAGAGCCGGTATGCTGTATCTGAGAGAGCAGCACTCTGGTGGTGTGTAGTGCTTACACATGGTGCTGCTAATCGCAAGGTCAGCAGTTCAAAACCACCAGCCCCCAACAGGAGGAAGAACACTACTCCCACAAAAAGTTAGCATCAAGGACTCATAGGGGCAGTTCTACCTGTCGTATAGGGTCCCTCTGAATTGGAATAGACTCCGTGGCCATGAGTTTGGCTTTTGGGGAAGGATCTGAGCCAGCCGATTCTTGGATTGTGGTCTGGGTACAACGATATGTATGCAGCTAGGATGTTTGGCCACAGCTCCAACTGAGCACACTGCTGCCACAGCCTGATTTGCAAAGTCATTCAATAATATAGAGTTTTTCCTCCCAGAAGAACACCTACTAACACCTAAACTACCAAACAGTGTAAGGTGAGTGTTCTCCCCACCATAGTAATGTGCCCAACGACATGGGCTGTGCTTACGGCTTCGCCATTATCACATCCCGGGTGTGTGTGTGTGTTTGTGTGTGTGTGTGTGTGTTTGTGTGTGTGTGTGTGTGTGCCTGTGGCTGATCACCGAGCCTGATTGTAGCCTTCTCTTCAATTGATATTTTCCCTCCCAACAGTTTGTAAAGTCATCTGGTGGGGAGCCTTCTAGTACCTCTTCCAGGGCATTGCTTCTTCCTTTGTGTATTGTGTCATACCCGACAAAGAGCTTCTCCACCCACTATCTCATTTCGTCCTCTTCCAGTATTTTTTCAGTTGGGAAAATAAAGGTGAAACATAGGGATGTGCAGTAAATCCTTGCCGTAAATCTAAGCTCAAGTCTCTCTTGATACATTCACTTTGGCTTGACTCACGAAACTCAAGCCAGCCACAAGCTCTTTTCAAGACCAGGAGCTCTGGGGAGGCCCTCCAGTCAAGCTGGCCTGCGGTTCACACACCCCCAGCTGCTCCACTGAACAGATCGAGGCTGTCTGCTCCCATAAAGATTTACAGCCTCTGAAACCATGTGCACGTGTGAGACAGAATTGATTTCATGGCTGTGGGTTTGATTCTGGGATTTCAGTGGCAACTTTCTAAGAGGAGGGATTTCTTCACAGAATCATCCAACCACCCACAATCCCGTCAGATAACAGCTTAAACACAAAGTTGTTAAAGAGAGTTAAATTAATGGGGTTTGAAATATTCTCCTACCACTCGAAGGAATTTGGAGATGGTCTAAAGGTTGGCCATTCCATTCCATTCAATGGTCTTATCTGTCAGTTAACTAGCTTTGCTGACCAAGGCATGTTCTGCGAATCAGATCTAAAATAACACATAAATAGGTTTTAAAATACCATGTGAATGTCAAGCATTGTTTTAAGAAATACATAGTTGACTATCTGCCCAAATGTGGCCACCACATCTGGGCACATCAGTGTTTGGGGCTGGTCTACATGTCAAAACGGAACAGTTACAAATGTTAAACAAAGAGATCAATTCATTCTTCAAATCCAGGACCACTGGTGTGTGAAATGCGCATGAGATAAATATCCTTTGGCTCCCCCTGGGAGAATGCCAAGGTGAACTAGCATAGAACGTTCCCTCCTTCCTGTGATGGAGCTGCCGCTCTCGACCCATTTTTGCAATATGGAAACTGCCGCTTGGAGACTTTGTGTGGGGGAATGGGCCAAATCATAAAGCAGAGACAGGGTCTGGATGAACAATCTGGAGGAGAAAACCATGGGACCAACAGTCCTGGGGGGACATGGGAGAGGGGGGTGGGGTGAAAGGTAGTGGTGCTAACAAACCCCAGGGACAAGGG